GGGGAGGGGGAGTGTTACTAACAGTAAAACTAGAGCTCCAAAGTCCTTTTCAAGAAAAGTCCCAAGTTAAATACAATATAAAGATCATATAATAGCGTAAGAATATTTTTAAAAGTCATGCTTGACTGTCACAAAATTATTTACATATTTGCCCCACACATTTTATTCTGCCTTCCTTCATCCATCCAGCACTGGGAAGAAGCTATCAGTAGGATTTCTCTGCTGTTGCTCAAATACATGCGAGATGTAACATTCATTCCTTAATCCCACTTTTATTTTATTCTTACAACAGCAAATAACTGATCAGAGGTAGACATACTGCTCTGTTCAGAACTCAGCCTGCATTAAGAGACTAACGTAATCGTATTGCGCAAACGCATTTAGAGAATTATAATCCAACCGTCTTCCTAAATGTCTTTTTATATAATGAACATCTGTGAAGGGTAAGTATGTTGTTTAGGAGTTTCATAAACATTGAAATAGAGGTGTATGGTTATTCTTCAGTATATTTTTTTTTAGAAAAGCTTATTAATAAAATTTCAGGTTACAAATAATGGGCATTACATAGTTTGCTCAATTTTGTTATTTTAAATAATAATTTAATTCAGATTAGATAATATTTTACAGAATTCCATATATTGAATGCTAAGATTTAAATCTACTTCAAGTTCATGATAACATAAGGTTCATGCTATAGTCAATGTTATAACAGAAGATGAACCAATTTGATTAGTATTCTGTGTCCACTTGGTAAGTCTGTTCCACTAGGCTAAAGACATGTACTTTGTGCACTGCAATGGAGTCTCAGAATAAATACTGTCAAGTTTAGAATTTAGATGCTGTTGTTGCTGTTATTTGTGTAACAGGAACTACTTTTGTGGGCATAAAAGCCAACAAGAAAATACTAATTTCAGTCAATGAGAGCTTTGCTTAAGTCAGTGAGTTACTTAGTACTATACGCCGTAGAGGCCCTTGGTTGCCATCGCTACCTTCACCCATTCCCATTCATATCTTCATCCATTGCTTAATTAAGGAGTAGATAATTTGGGCCCTCAGAATCGATGGTTTATTAGTCCACTCTAGTTTTAAATATCCTAGGCAGCGAGATTGCTTTTATAATAGTAATAGTTTTGATAAATTAACAGCTTTGACATTGTTTTGATAAATTAATAGTAACATATCTGGAGCCAGAAATTACTTTTTTGAGATCAGTCATATTCCTTAGACTGGACTAGACCATCTTGTTTAAAGAGCTCATTGTCCAAATATATATTACACTTCAGACATCTTTCAGCTATTTGTTTGGGTTTTTCTTAAGTTATTGCTCCAAGTCAACTAGTTAGTTATAAGAACATACTTTATTTTGAATTATAAATAGTGACAGTAACAAGTTTTACTCCAAATATAGAAAATCTCATCCATTCACAAGCAGAACAAAGTTGCTTCATTCAGATATGAGATTTTAGTGTTTCACAGACTCATACCAAAATGGATATGCAATATGGATAAGACAAGTATTTAAAATTAGAACTCAAGATATAAATTAATCAAAGTGCATCTTCTTTTTTACTGAACACACAGCAACACTTGTAGACTCCGGTCAGCATCACAGTCAATACTTTTGTCACACACCATTAATGTAAAGTATTTTAAAGCTTTATTTTGTCATTATTATTTTTATTTACAAAAATATTCTCCATTTCCCTTTCCAATCCCAATTTCAAAGTTCATTCATTCCTAGACTGAAATACTAAGGCTCTAAAGCAAACAGGCTTCCAATTTAAAACAGGCTAAATTTGTTCCACATAAAACCAATGTAATAGCTTAAATCATATTTTTATTGTAAAAGGTTTTAGGTGGATAAATAAATTGTAATTTCTAGTTGAAGTCTTTCAGTTTGGTCACCGAGAAGCTACATCATTCTCCTAATTAAATATTTTTATTTGTAAAAGTTCTTCTTTACAAGAAGGTAGTCTACACTAATAAAGAGAAGTTTATGGTAGCAGAAGAATGAAGTTCAAAACTTTCTTTTGAGGTTAATATCCATATGGAAGGAGCTAGAGCAGCAGGTCCCAACCTCGGGTCAGGACCCAAATGAGGGTCACAGAGGCAATGCTCGTGGCGCTGCACACAAATGGCAAGGCATGCTGGGAGCTCCCCCACCCCATAGCCACTGCTGCACTCTGCTCCCAGCAGCACATGGGGGGGGGAAGGGACCACTGGGCTAGAGGTTGCTACCAACTTGAGCAGGAGCACAGGCAAAGATTTAGATGTAGTGCTGAGATTAGGATCTGTCCCTTGATGGCTTCAAGTATAGCCACAAGCAGTGGTATTTAACCATTATTTAGTCCAGAAAAAGCTATACAAAAGGTAAAGTACTGTACTCTAATAATAAATAACAAGTTTTGGGGGAAAACATCTTTTGAACAGGTGTTTTTTTTTTTTTTTTTTTAAATCATTTAGATTTGGTCTGTGCACTTGCTCATGGCCCATATCACATCCTTTATACTGTTGCATTTCATTTCAAATGAGATTCATTCTGGTGATATCAGCTAGTTAGAAGGTATCAATCCTGTTAGACTTCGAGTTAAATCTTTTAATTTCACATTCTTTAATGCTAGCCCATCTGACAAGCCCGATATTGTTAAGAAACAGGCAAAGCAGTGAAATGTATATCTGCAGTATGTATTGTGACAAAGGAGTTCCCATCTCTTCAGACTATACTCTGGTTTCTCAAAAAGTTATTTGCACAAGCAACTAGACTGGAGTAAGAGAGACTACTTACAAGGACTACTCATGTGAAAATGTGAATGACTGGATCTTGTACACTCAAAGCAAGAGAATATGGTGCATCACAGTTTACTACACATTTACAACTCATTCAGAAATGAGCCTAAGGTTAATATGTGGAATTGTTTAGGGTTAAAGCATTTGTACACAAACTACATACTTGATTCAGATCTTTAAGATATCACAACATAAATTGTTATGTATTACCACTTATTTAACCTACCAGATAGTTATCCTTGGACATTTAAAAAGTGTCCACCAAAATCAGGTGAGCTGAAGAAAGCCATGAGGTGTGCAAGGAATACATGAGGACCTAGATTTCATTAAGTTCTTTGTAAACTGAATGATGTGAATGTGCAAACAGTGAACAATACCTTTGAATCCCTACCGACTTGTGGCAGCAATCCAAAGCCAGTTAGATTTTCCTGCAGCTTTTATTAAGTTTTCTAGAAAAGGTGGGGGTAGCCTGTAACCTTGTAAAGAAAAAAACTCCAGCCCAATTAAAATGCACAGCAATTTCTGCAAGCCTGCATCTAGATAGACTGAAGCAATAGCACCATAAACAGAAGCTTGTTTTGTATTTGACAATAGAGTTTGTAACTTTAGTGTACCCAAATGTTAACCAAATACGGAAACATCTCTTTGGAGTTGGTGAAATGTAATACTTTAATTAAAAAACAAAAACACACCAAACAAAAAAACAACCCCCCCCAAACAAACTGTGTAGCTGCAATTTCACCCTCCCCACCAAAAGATAGTCTAAGCTGGATCCATGTGCAAAGTGCATGGTAACATTGAGCCAAATCCATCCATGTCCCTATTATGTGACATACATGACAACTAATTTTCAAGATCATCTCTAGTAATCCTCAGGTTTAAAAAAAAAGATAAAAGTTTTATTTTTCAGACAAAGTTATTTGTAGTTTTCATAATACATTTCATTCATAGGATTCACAAAAATTTAAAAGCATGGTGCCAAACTGAACTTATTATTTACTTCACAATATTTTACTGCTCTCCACAGATCTGACTACACTTGGCAAATTTTTAATTATTTCATCTTTAATACAAGGGAGCCATAAATCATTTGCATTGTTAACCTTATAGCACAAGGACTTGTCTGTCAAGTGCCATGCACATCTGTGGCACTTCATGGCATGCCCAAAGATTTTCACTTGGGTCAGAATGGGTTTGCCTTCAAATCCCTTCTGTTTTTGATTTTTTAAAAATACAAATACATACATAAAATTAATATAAAATATAAAGTGATGTATGCTTTTGGTGCAAGATCACACAGGAATTGTCTTCCAAGATTTTAAGTGCACTCTCAGAAGTGAAAGCATAAGCAGTTAAAAAGAAGTCAAAGTCAATTTTCACATTTTGTTTTTCCACTCTTACCTCCCCACCTCCACCCTATAGGGGTATCCACTCACTTTTACCAACTCTGGAGTCAACTGGGCAGTGGCCACTCATTTCAGAGGGACCTGAAGTCAGGCAAGGAAGAAATGGAGGACTGAGCCCTGCTGTTCCATTTTCCTTTAGTCCTGTATATACATGTATAAATCTTCTTACCACAAATGAGAGCTACACAATCCCTGCCCATCAACGTGAGATTAGACCTCTATTAGTGCTACAGGATCTGAGGCAGGCAAACTGGAATGTTAGGTTTAACTTTGTTAGTTTACTGCAATGTAATAAAAATAAATAAATAAAAAGTCCCCTGCTGTCTGACTTCAGGGAAATACCGAATTTTACATTTGGTAGCTAGTGCAAAAAAAAGATTTGAGAAAGTGGCAAGAAGCTTTCCTGCAAGAAAAAAAAAAAAAAAAAGCATTTAGGAGAGAAGGATGAAGTCTGTTAATCTCTCTGCAGAAATTGCTCTCCATCCTTTTCTGCAGTTCTGGAATTACTACAGTGGTTATTAATGTATGCTAGACCAAGAAGTGCAACTGGATTCTGTAGGAGCAGTGCCAACCTACTGACAGTATTTGGTATCAAACATTGTTTGCACAGTCTCCTAGACTTAAACCACTAAAGATTAAGGTAAAAAATAGATAGTTTACATCTTCTTACTAGGATTTACTCATTTCTTTTTGTGGCAGAAAACCTGTGCGTTTTGGGAGGGAAGGAAAAAAAAAAAAAGGAAAAAAAAATCACTCCATCAATACTGCCCTATATACGTACACCCTAATCCCCAATTTCTGGGATGTTCCCCAGATGTTGTAAACATGGGACCAGCCACAGACATCAGAACCTATTGAAGAACAAGAAATTCAGGCTACTGGGAATCATCATCTATTAATAGCAGACAAATCCCTCTTATAGCCAGTACCAATAATACCCTGGGGCTCCGTCCTGTTAACCATGACCAGCCCAGAGAACAAGTCTTATACTGCAGGCTGATCTACAGCCTTATCCCCCTTTAAAGCTAAAAGAAGTGCACAAACCCTAGGTACGCAACATCAATATGCGACCCAAAAGGTTTTTCAGGTGTGCGTGTGTGTTAAAGTCACAATTTCAGTTCTCAGCTTTTCCAGGAGACCTTCCCGAAACAAACTGTGCCACACACAAAAAAAAACCCACCAGTGAGCAGCGAGGCCATCTTAGGAGAGTTTTACTACACACACCGCCAGGACGATAGCAATGATGAGCACCGCAGAGAAAATCACGCCTGCCAAAACCTTGCTGATATCACAGAAGGATTTGTTCTCCTCCACAGAGATCATGCCCATGGAGGAGGCGCCCATGCTCACGGTGGATTTCAGTTCAGCCCCAGGGTCCTGCTTAGCTTCTACTGTCCAGTGGGGGACGTTCACCTTCATCTCCATCTCGTACATCATCTCCCCCATCTGGTTGATCTCCTTTTCTAGGTCTTTCAAATCCACCACGTCGATGTTGTGCTCAGCCTCGTACTTCATGTTCTGGACGCTCATGGCGCGGGCGGCCACCCCCGACGTGCCCCCGCTCATCCCCGTCTGGATCAGGTGCTTCTTGGGGACATTGAGGGGGAACTCGTGGCCCAGCTCTAGGGCCCGCCGCATGTCGACCTCCAGGATCTCCATGCAGGTGGAGAAGATGACCCACAGCCTCTCAAACTCCGCCTTGTCCTCCTTGCTCACCGTCTTGTCCTTCAGCACGCCCGTCAGCTTGTTCCTGTTGGCCACCGCCAGCTCCTGGGCTTTCTGCCGGGTTTTCCTCAGCTCCTCCCGCAGGTTCTGCGAGTCCGCCGTGCCCCCGATGGTCAGCACCATGTGGCGGTAGCAGGCGGCCACCTTGTTGAGCGCGTCCAGCAGTACCTTGCACTCCTCCTTCACCATGGCTGCAGCGCCTCAGCCGCCACCAGCCGCGCGCATCATGCTGCACCCCAGCCCGCGCCGCCGCCCCTTATATGGCGTGGGGTCACGTGGCGCGGGCAGGAAGTGGCCCTATGAAGCCCCCCCTCCCGCTCAAGCCCCGCCCCCAGTGCAAGCTGCCGAGACCCGGCGGCTCCGCGGCTCAGACC